GAATCCCTCAGCCTTGAGGGAAATGATTCTTTGAGTGGCTCTGCACAAACATGGGCTTGCTGCCTGAAACAGATGAAGCATGTTCGCCTGAAATTGGGCTATTGTTCGTTGACAAAAGAAGATAAGAAACACATATCCGAGGCACGGGGAAGTGGAGTTGATTTTGGGTCTTCTGAAGATGACTAGATGTCCAATATATGTCTGAGCTGAGATCTATTATATGATGTGCATGCCCAAGTAGCCTATAAGATGAGTGAGCTAGAGTATATGATGTATATAATTTTGTAGTCATTTAGATCGAGTCAGTCTTTAAGTCACAATTTGTTGTGAGAAACTTGGGAAACGCAGTAATTTACTGAATCCAGGCATTTTGGTGTGAACAGAGAATTGATGCATATTTGTTCAACAACTTAAAAACAAATTAGTATTCGTAATCAAGCTAATCCATTTCTCACTTTAAAAAACAGGTAAATTTGAGACGGGTATTGTTATTGATAATACTTGTACTTTCATCGCTCCCCCGGGCTATTCACGAACCACCAGGATCAAGATTTTTTTTTCGATACGGAGTTCTTTTCAGTATTTAATTTTGGAACTCAAGCAAAATAGTTGAAATGAAGGGGCTTGGTGCAGGTTGTAAAAGAATAGATCAGTCTCTAAACTCATACAGACACACCCAGCTTTATCATGGCACACTTCAGAACTTCCCTCTGTTTCTAACAAAGCAAAGTGGCCCCCTAATAATTTCCAGGAAAAGAATCGTAAAGCGTTCTCCGCTCCCCTCTGTATACGGGCCGACTAGTTTGTACCCGCCTCACAGATTTGGGAGTAATGAATATCAAACACATATCGACATTGTGACAATTTCATACCAGTGTAATTGAAGAGTTTAGTCCAATGCAGGCTCAGTGTAAATATCATCGTAATGAAATCGAGGACAGCTTAACATCGGCTCTGTTGCTTGCCAGAAAAGTGAAACGTGAGATAAATGTTTAGCTTAAGAACTCCTTCAAGTAAAATCATTAAAATTGAAGACACTTCATTTCATATACCCTCTCTAACGACATCATCTTAGTAAACATAATAAGATACTAACAAGAGACTGCGGTTGTTTGATTGAGTAAAGCCTGGTTTTGTTGAACAGCCTATCATGCATGATTGTACCTAAGTAATTGAATACTCTAAGCACCGGTTTATGTCGCCGTTGACTTATTGTTTGTGTACGCCTGGTAAAGAATTTACTCGATATATGCGATTTTTAATAATGTGGACCAATGAGATTATGGCATGCAGTCAGTAAGAAATATCAAGATTACCAGAATGTGCCATGCTGTTTATAACTTGTACATATCTTTGATAACCTCAACTTTGTCTGAGGAATCGAACTGAAAGTTTGAAAGTGTACATATTAATACGCTTATATTGATTGTGCCACAAGAAGATCTTACCCATAACCGTTTATTTTTGTATCAAAACAGTCTCTCATGGCTTGAAGTGTTTACATACATTTGAAATTGTGTATTTGATTAATTTGGCAGAGACAATCTTTTTAATGCGACCGGTCTTCAAAGATTAAATATGTACGCATGCGTAGACAGTATACCTGTATAATGCGGCCACTACTCACCATTCCTCTTTGTGGGTGTTCATGTTATGCTTACGTTGACAACGTTAGAAAAGTTAAAGCAGAAACAATTATTGTATTAATGTTAAATGGTGTCATATGGGGGAAATACTCCAAATTGCATTATTTTGTCAAAAGCCCGAAACCTTAAGATACCATTGGTGATAGTTGATATAAAAACCAACTATTTCTGAAGTTTGGATTTTAGCGGACTGTAATTCCTGAGAAACCAATCCTAATGTCAAGCCAACTACATTGTGTATACGATTTGTGGACACTTCCGTATAAAAAAATTGTCGGTATTTTTTCATTTTATGTTCAAATTTTTAAAAAGGAATCACACTGTTGACAATCAAAGGAACGGTAAACATTTTAAAACATTTGCAACAAATGCCAGTTATCAATGTTTGCATGTTGAGAAAAAGTCTCTTTTAATAAAGTTTGGGTTAACTTTATCCACAATGAAGAGTATTTAGTATTTCTTTTAAATTTTGATCCTGATGGAAAAAAGAGATCTTTTACTTTTGTATTGGAAATTAATGTGAATCATTTTTTAGTCTTGTCTTAAATAAGGTATTGGCAAATAAAGGCCTGAATGGGAAAGGAGAACGATTTGAACTCATTTGTCATTGCTTTAAAGGCGGTCAAAAAGGGGGAAAATAGTAAAAGGGTGCATACCAGTTAATAATTTGCCACAAATACATCCGATAAATATCCAGTCTTTAAAAATCGGAACGCAATTAACCAATAACCTATGAGTGATGAATCCCACTAATAACAACGCCCTTTATAGAACTAGTCATGAAGTTATCGCCATTTGAAAACCAAAAAATAACCTCCCACTCCATAGACTTCCTACGGATAGCTGCCAGACCGGAAATGTGCAGTGGATGAATATGTTACGCTGCATTGTGGGTCATCATTGCGAAGCACAAAATACCGGTGTAGCGTGAATATCCGAATCCATCAAATGTGGACTCATTGGTAGTATTGCGCACGCGTGAGTACGATACTAAACTATTTTTAGGATCGTTTGGGGAGAGTGACCTGTCACGTGCGAGGGATTAACCAATAAAAGGGAAAATGGGGTCCGATTTTCCTAGGAGTCGGATTTTCATGTGACACCGGTACGTCTCGCAAACTGTCCCATGATGCAACGCGCACTACCTTCATTGCATATACTTCCAATCTCTCTGTGAAATGGTTCATTGCTAATCAGAGCACCTTCAGGTCCGGTTTAGAACTTCGACATTTACTGGATACAAACCCTAAAATGAAGAGACTCCATTCAAGCCATGGACGCCGGTAAACCTTCATGAATTATGTGATGTACAGCGTCACCCCCAATCCGGGAAAAGTGGTCTGGTAAAATGGTGGCGCTAAATCATAGCAATGGGACATGAATAATGCTGTATATCTGAGAACTGATTGAATAGTGCGAAGAGGGGTTTGGCACATTCTGTGTACATCTGGGAGATGTTCAGCCTAATTTACGCATTTCACGAACTGAAGTTTTTGAAATTTCTTCAACAACTGCAAATTTCAAGCCATTATGGCAAGTACACAATTTTAGATCATTAGAGCCTCTTGGACAAATGAGGGCGCTACAACAAGGCAAATTACGGGTCCAAAGCAGACAAAATCTAGGCACGTGATCATTGTACACTCATTGGGACCCCTTACATGCAACATTGTGGCATGCACCCTCAACAATACACCCAAGAGATTCTTTTTCTGTGTGTGTGTGGGTGTTTTCCCACAATTTCGTTGTCACCAGGGCCGGCGTAGGATTGCCTGATTCGGAAACGGGTGGGGGAGGGGTTAACACCCCCAAAAAGTCGACCTATTATTAAATGCTAGCGCAGAGTGCGAAGCACATACGGCTTCGATTCTAGATATCTGTTGTGCAATCTCATTCACTTCTTGGCCAATATTCCTTGATGTTTAGAGCAAAAGGCTATCAGCGAAACATTGTGAACACAATACCAAGGGGGTCATGAAAAGTGGAATTTCTAAGCGGCAAGTTTTGTTTTAATTTCTGAGCGGGACTCCTCATCAAGCGGGGTGGGGGCTGGTTCCCCAGAACCAAAACCTGCAGTACCAATTTCATAGAGCTTGTAAGCCGTGGCGACTCGCATTTCTGGGAGTCAGACTCGGGGAGTCAGGTTGGCATAGCGGTACTTTCCTCGCCCTCCACCGCTGTGACCCGGGTTCGAAGCCCGCCTGGGCCAATATGTGGATTTGGTTTTCAGTTTTCGAATTTGCAGATTTTGTGATGATCTGGACATTTTGGTGCCCCTTCATAAAGGGCTGGTGCCCCACCCCCACTCCATCCCCCTGAAATAATCCTGGCTGCGCCACTGTTTTTCATCATTTTAAAAGAAGAATTATTCAAAGAGGTGTTATTCTGAAATCCATCTCGGTGTCAAGTTGATAACTACTTGCGAGCATTGAACCCTGTAAGGTTTAGTTCTGTATACCACATGCATGCTGTCAGTGCCAGTACAGTGGCATCCTGATCAATGCCCCCGCCATTTGATCATCCAAAACCACGGGAATGACAGGTGTGACGAGGCTGTTTCGTCTTCAGAATTTTTTTTAACGGTTCAGAAAGAGCTTTTTTTTCCCAACAAATACGGGTATAGTTTCTGGTTACGATTGTATAACTGGTTGTCGTCCATGTTAAAGCAGCATACGTACGTGTGTTCTCACAATGCCAATATTCTTCATGGGGGTTTATCAAATCACGCCATGTTCCAAAAGTCCAAAACTGAAGTGTTTACGACGGTTATGCGATTGTTTACCAAGTCTGATGCCGCTGGCTAGATAAAGTCAAATATAATTGGGTTTCCAGTACACGGCTTCGGTTCCCTTTTGGCCTAGGGAGAGTTTTAGGCCTCTGACTTTAGGCGAATCCGGCTCAATCCAGGCCATTGCTCTACTGCAGCAACATTAAATCTTATTCTAAGCGAAGTCAATATTTTAAACATTTCCAACGAGGTTTGACATTATTCCAAAACAATATTTTCAAGTCACAGACGATGCAGAAACTGGAGACAAATCCGTGGTTTGGAAAACCCCCAATAGATAAAAACAGGATCTGGTGTCCTGCCTCGTCGTGTACAAATCAGTTGAAACAAGACAAGGTCAGATGTAGTCTGTGCTACCTTGCCAGGGTTCATTACCAAACCGAGAAGTATGCGCATCTGTAGCCTGGCTGTTAATATTAACAGTACTTATGGGGCGTTTAGCTGATTTACGTACAATCTATCACAGTAGGTCATTGAAGGCCAGTATATGGACAACTTCTAGATGATTTTTCTTTCGTCTGTGTGTGATTCGTCACACATTTCTTCACCATCAACTGGTTACAAAGATGCCGCAAAAGACCATTCAGCAGTTGAATGCCTATATCAAGGCAACAACCGTCGTGTACGACCACTCCAACACCAAACTCGTCAGCAGAAAGACTAAAGTCAGCAGGCGTAGGAAGGAGGCGTTTCTTTCTGTGCTTCCATACAGGAAACCGTCGTCTCATTACCACTCCCATGAGAGAAAGACATCATCATCATTGATTACCCGCAAACCAAGAAGTAAACCTGCAACAGAAAGGTAAGGGACTTCGTAAATGGGCAACTTTAAAGAAAACTCCAGCTCTCTAAACCAAGGCTTTTTGTGATTATATATTGTTTCAATTGAGTGACTGCACTAAAATCACTTAGAGGCGCAGCCTAAACATGATGTCACGTCTCCTCGATTGGCCCTCCCAAAGAAATCATTCTTCGGCAGTCCCATCAATACATGAACTGAAAAGCACTCAGAAAACAAAATGAGAGGTGATGCTGCACTTCCCACAATAATTACAAAATATTTACAAAAGTTGCGCGCACAATCAGAATGTCTTCCAAGTTTTTCTTCCACATTTCCTTTTTCAACCAAATTACTGCAAGCAGGTTGCGTGCATCATATTATAACATAACATATAATATAGTTCTTTTCAGAACCATTCTGTTTATTGTTTTCGCAAACCTTTCATTCATTAGTATCTCCACCATGCAAAGCCTGAAAAGTTACCTAGAACTGTTAATCAAAATATTCTACACTGGAAATCACATGAGAAACACATGTCTCTTCATGTTTTGTCATATGTACATCATATGATAAATAATTTTGTCTGTTATAAAATCATCTCTTTAATGAGGACTTCATTTTGGGGATGAAAGTGAAAACCCCCACTTTTCTAGTCCATGTTACGTCCCACGGAATTATACAAAATTTACTGACCCTTTAGACAGTTTTGCTCCAAATAAACTTAAAGAATTTGGATGGACCCGTGGCTTATTTCAATGGGTAGAAGTACAGGTTACAATCCAAAATTCATCAATCCAAATTCCTTGAAACATGAAACAAATATTGCAGCGATGCCCTGCACACCTTCGAGTCTAATAATAAATGAGGATTCAAATTATTCAATATACATATGTTCGCAAAGTAAACACGTAAAACTAATTAAACTAAACTCGGCAGGAGTCAATCGGAGTCAACTTGGATGATATATTATAGTTTCTGGAAATGGTTAGTCGAAGCGACGAAGGAGCAATAAATATATATTTTTTTCTCAATTTTAATGCCACAAAATGAACTTTGTTTGTAAGTCTTGATTTCAAGAATAATTTCGGTTGAAATAAAACCACTCCTATACAATCGATCTTTGAGACAGAATTAGGAATACTTATACAGTCTATATTTCACTCTTGCTGGAACCAAATTCATAAACTTACTGAATAGAAGCTAAAATATAAACTCCAAACCTTTTTATCACAGTGTCATAAGTAACCTGCAACAGAAGCTGAACATATCTGTCAAGACTCCAGAAAATGATAACAACAATGCAACACAGACGCTCAGCTTCCAACTGCATCCAGGGACATCCGTTCAATCTTTAAAAGAGCTCATAGAGAAGCTGATTGGTATTGAGGCGCGGCACCAGCGTCTTTACATCCGACGGAACGTTCAGGTCGGTATGTTTCAATTGTACAGACACTCAAATTTGAAAGATCCAAAACTGAGATTTTCGCATAGGGGAGTTGTGAAAATGTATATGCAAGAAACACAATCTCACATTTCCCTTTGTTATTCAAGAATTTGTCCAAAAGTTGCTATATAATAATTTGTAACAGTTATTCATGTACTCTTGAAATCTATCTACTGTCAGCTTTGTGACTTACTCACACTGGAGGAGAATGGTGTTGACAGGGATGAAATCATATATCTCCATCAATCAATACAAGACCTAGATGAAAACGATGTGCCAAAAGGTAAATGACAGTGGTTATTAATAAATGTTAATGTGAACAAAGTACCTCATACGAAGATTTTGCTATCTTTAGCGGAACCTTTAGTAAGAACACGTGATTCTCTTTGTTGGTTTTGTAATATACGTTAATAACTTAAACGGTTTTGGCCGCACTAGAAATGGTTTCATTGACGGCTCAGTTAATAGTTCTTTTGGCAGACAAAGCCAGCGTCGATGATGAATACCTCAAGGACTTGTCCTCAAAAACTGAATCATCTTGGAAGGAATTGGCTAAAGACCTAGGATATGAAGAAGCGGAAATTGCAAACATCCAAACCACCAACGAAGGCACCACTAAACAGAGCCGTCACATGTTACTCACTTGGTGGAAAAAGACGACAGATCGCGACGAAGCAGCTCAGAAGCTGAGACGAGCATTGGAGGCCATCGGGTTGACTGATTTGGCTGAAAATGTACCGGGTGAGCTAACATGTGACCAAGGAGATTTCTTATATTCACATGTTATTAAAAACATAAATATGAAAACAATTAGAGATAGTTTAAACAATTGGTAAACAATAAAATTATGATCACCCTGTTTCCCTCTTGTATCAGCAACGAATGAATTGAGAGACGAAGCAGATGGACCCGAGCCAGAAAGGCGTCAAGATGCAGGAGTTGACGAGGAGAGCAAACAAAACGGGGCGGCATCAGCCGAAGATGAGAATCTGAAAAAAGAACAAGTGTGTCATCAAGACAAGCCTCAGCTTAAGTGGTAAAACACGGCTATTCGTATTCCTTTTGAAAACAATCATCTTTCCTTACTTTGAAAAAATAGTTTCAAGAACAATTGAATTTTCCATGATTTATTTCAAAATGTATGTTCAAAGTATTTATATGGCGTTATAATGCAAGTCCACCATTCTAACAGTTTCAGATATGTGGCACTACAGGTCTTCATCAGAAGTCACCTGACACATAGACCGACGACAATGTGTTTACAAATGGATCCAGAGACATCTGTCTCGACTCTTAAACAGATAATTTGCGAGAAAATCAGTGTCCGGCCTCAACAGCAGCGACTGTACATCCGAAGAAACTTTCGGAACTTTGAGGTAAAGAAGGCTTTACAGATAATTCTGCTTCTGATGTCGATGCAATGGAGATTAGAGACTGAAGATCGTACCTACTGAAAAAAATAAACCCAATAAACCATTATGAAAATTAATAATTTTGGTTTTAGCCCTACCAATCTAGTCTCACGATAAAAATGCACCACGGTGAAAAGTTAAATTTATGTTTCATTGCCTTTTTTTTTACACTGTTGTGTAACCTAAACCGCAAACTGTCGTCGTTAAATCTTCGCTCAAAAAGTGTGTGTTATATCAGGATCTTAATTACTTTACCAGCTCCATAACTTGCTGACACTTCAGGACTGTGGAATTCATCAGGACGAGAACATCTCACTCCGTCTGTGTACTGATGGCTTACTGGGCGGTGGACGGAAAGGTAAATGCTTACTGGAAACGTTACCATCCAGAATAAAATCACCCTAACTTACTACATTAAAGTCATGAAAAAGACCGCTTTGAAAGTGCAGTTGTGCAACTGTTATGATCGATGGTTTAGTTTTTGTTAAGCTCCTCTCTAGGACTCTCGGAGTTTAGCATCTGTAGTTAAAGAGATATTTAAATTAATTGCACCCATCATCAACCACTATAATTTCCGTACCGTCAAAAAAGTATACATGAATTTGTATCGAAAAAAAAAACATCTTTCAACATGTCAACTTTACCGGAAACGCACACTATATTTAATTCAGTAAACAATGACAAAGATAAAAGCACGGACATCTGGCTTCTTTTTCTTCTCTTTGATTTTAATTCAAAAATCAATCCCAAAGAGGTATCACCTTGTACTGACGAAAATGCTTCAAACACCCTGTTGATGATCAGTTCTTTCGGGAATTGGCTTCGAAAACTGAATCATCCTGGGAGGCCATATGGCCAAATTCCTGGGATATGAAGAAGCCAACGAAAAAATCTTTCCAATCGGGTAAATATTTATCGAGTTATGGCCAATGGAATACAAGAGTGCAGGTTTGTCGTTTTGTCCATGGCGACTGATATTTTGACCGCGGCAATAAGAACACGGTCCGAAACTTGCATCCGTGGAAAAGGCTACACCGAAGAAGTTAACATAACAGTCCTTTTCAGGACTACCATTACCGCTGCTTATATTCCGAAAATTACGGTACGTCCAAAAGGATAAATGACCTTTTTTGCAAAAAAGGAGAGCCAAATAAAAAAAATTAAGATTAAAACATTAAAGAAAGAAAAACTACCCTCACCCCAAATCCAATTCCTAATCAATGACAATTATTGAGACCATGGACGGATAGAAAAGTCGGCACTTATTTGGAATTGGCCATATAATCAGTGGCGTAGCCAGGAATTTTTCAGTGGTGGGCGCTGGGGGGGGGGGGGGGGGGCTGGAACATTTCATGGGGGGAGGGGGCGTGATGTTATTACTAATGATAATATTGTAGCGTAGACCTAGGTGGGTTCTTGTCCCCCAATTTAGCAAAACGCCAGAAAAAAGGGACGCAGTTGACTCAAGGCTTGAAGCAAAACTCAACTTGTTTCGTTTTAATTCTCTAAAGACCGGCTACCTGCCGCTGCTTCCAAAAACACAACTGAACATTCTCAGCATACAAAACGCACTGTCTGAAAAAGTATACATTTGTAACAACTTAACCCAGCCCTGGAACTTATCCAAACCCTTCCCGCGTACCCAAACAAAAGAACCCAATTGAAGTGATCTATTTACAACAACCTATTTCCGGAGCGCGCGCCGGCCCAGACCCAGGCCAGGTGCGCGCCGCCGGAGGCACTCCGCCGGCGGCGGTGGCACCGTCTACTACTGGTAACTACGGAAAACAAACTGTCCACTACAATATTTTTAGAAACTCAAAATCTCAGTGGGGGCGACTGGGGGCGACTACCATGGTCCCTCTCCCAGGCCGTCACGGTGCCATGTCCGCCACCAGATGTCCCCCGGTTCCCGGAATCCAACGGCCTCAGTTTCTCTGTATACCTGGGTGCCGTCTGGTTCCGTCTTTGTCTCCCCGGTGGAAGTGGAGAACTCCTCCGTCATCAGCACCGGCTCTGTCTGGGCGGCGGCCTCCGAAGTCTTCACCTCTGCACGCTGTAACTCTCTTGGTGGTGAGCACCTACTCAAGCCTGCTGTCTCCACCCGGTCTGCCTGGTACCATCGCCCTTGAAGATACAGCCTTGCCTCGGACGAGTGATTCATCGGAGAAATTCTCCTCACCGGGGCCGGCGCGGCAACGCCCCCAACAGCTGCTCCCTCGCCCGCCATCCCTCCACCAGTTGCTGCCTCATGGGATCTGGCGTGTCGAGCCAGGTAGTCGGCCCGCCGGTAGGTCTGGGGGCATTGTACACAACGAAAAGACCGCCCTTCATGCGCCGCCTTCTCGTGCCTGCGTCTATTGTAAGACGACGCATACTGTTGTCCGCAAACTCTGCAGTTGTACATTGTACGTTCCTCCATCACTGTCTGTTCCTGTCCCAGCTCGCTATGCGTAAGACGATGGTCGTTAGCGCCCTCTGCCGGCTCGCTAGTGTTAGGGTAAGGGTACACTTGCTGCAAGTATCGCGGGGGCTTGCGAACTGCTCTGCCCCGGCGTGTTCGTGGTGTGCTTGTCTTTTGTTCTGAGCAAGTCGTTGTATGCTGTTGATTGCCCGCTCCGCCGGCGGGGCCACCCGCTCCGGCGGCGGGGCCACCCGCGCCGCCGGCGGGGCTGCCCGTGCCGGCGGCGGGGCTACCCGCGCCGAGAACGGGGCTACCCGCGCCGAGAACGGGGTTACCCGTTCCGGCGGAGGAGCCACCCGCGCCGGCGGCTTGGCTGCCCGCGCCGGCGGCGGGGCTACCCGCTCCGGCGGAGGAGCCACCCGCGCCGGCGGCTGGGCTGCCCGCGCCGGCGGGGGTGCTTGGTTGGCCTGAGGACGATACCAGCTCAAACTCTTTGAATCCACAGTCCTCTGCACTAACTCCTTCGCTAATTTTCAACCTGTCTGCGTGAACCACCTGCGGGCTAGAGCGAGGGGTTTTCCGAATCCTGTACACCACATCAGACAGTCTTTCCAGTACGACAAAGGGACCAGTCCTGCTCAGGCTCAGCTTCGGGCAAACTCCCTTCTTCCTTGCCTTGCAATGGAGCCACACCACATCTCCCCTGTTGTAGACCATCCGCACTGCGTTCCTGTCATAATGCTTCTTCCGGGCCCTCATTTGTGTACTGCTAGCCTTACTGGCAACCTCGTGGGCCAACTTCAACTTCTCTTGAAGATTTTGGGCGTACTCACATGAGTTAATACGCGCCTCCTCTGGGGTGGCAGCCAACAGTAGTTCAACCGGCATCCTCACCTCGCGGCCCAACATCATTGCGTTTGGCGTCTCCTTTGTAGTGTCATGCTCTGCCGACCGGTATGCCATGGCAAGGGGGGCTAAATGCTCGTCCCAGTCAGTTTGGGATTTGTTCACCCACAGGCTTAGCATGGCTTTAATCGTCCGGTTGAACCGCTCGATCATTCCGTCGGACCTTGGGTGATACGGAGTGGTGCGGGTCTTTCTGAGGCCGAGGATTGAGCACATTCTTGTGAAGACCTCAGACTCAAACTCTCTTCCTTGGTCAGAGTGGACTTCCAGGGGAACACCGAACCGGGCGACGAACTTGACGAGTTTGGTTGCGACGGTCTTGGCAGTGTGATCTGGGACTGCATAACATTCGGTCCACTTGGTGAAATAGTCTCCCACCACAATGATGTACCGGTTACCTCTGTCGGTGGGAGGGAGGGGCCCCATGACTTCAACCGCTATTCTTTCCATAGGTGAGCCCACCTGGTAGTGCTTCATCTCTGCTCTCTTGGCCCTAGCTGGTGGTTTCCGTCTCTGACACTGTTGGCACCGCTGGACCAAGCGACGAGCGGACTGACGCATAGAAGACCAGTAGAAGTTGCTTCTACACAGTTTAGCAAAGGTTTTTGCAACACCGAGATGTCCTCCGGTTTTTTCGTCATGATACTGCTTCAGTATGGCAGGTTGCAGTTCCCGGGGTACCAAAATTCTTCGTCGGGGCTTATCAGTTGGTCGACATGGCTCCCACCGGATACACAGGGCTTCCTGCTCCACCACCAACTGTTCAAAGCGAGCCCACCAGAATTTGATTTCTTTGCTCAAGGGTGCTAAACTCTCCCAGGACGGCCGTTGACCATGCGCCACCCACTGCGGCACTTCCTTCAAGTCATCATCGCATTGCTGTGACCTGGTCAGCTGCTCTTGACTTAGCTCTGTGGCGTTGGCATTTGGAAGTGATCTGGAACCCCCTGGCTCTGCATCTTCCCCTGGTTGATGTACTGCTTTCAGTGTTGGTTTGGGCAGTGAGGCTACTAGCTCCGGGTGTTGGGCTGTTTCCACCTGTGGAGAGGCTACTAGACCACCACGCTGCTTCCTACATGTTTCATTTGGGGCTGCCGCAAGTCTTCAATGTTCACCATGGTGCCAGGGCTGATTTCCTCCTTCGAAATGTGGTCACAGTTAGGGAAGCATTTCCTGGACAATGCATCAGCGTTTCCGTGGCGTCTACCAGACCGATGCTCAATGGCAAAGTCATAGATGCTGAGCTTCTGCATCCATCTGGCAAGCTGTCCCTGGGGATCTCGAACACCAAACATCCATTTCAGGGGCCGGGGATCTGTACGAATCCTGAAGCGAGTCCCATAGAGATAATGATGGTACTTCTTCACAAACTGCACAATGGCCAGGAGTTCCTTTCTTGTCACGCAATAGTTCCTTTCCTGCTTGGTCAAAGCTCTGCTTCCGTAGGGAAGGACACGTTCCCTATCCTCCTGCACCTGTGACAGCACAGCACCAATTGCGAACCCGCTGGTATCAGTGTAGAGGATGAACTCCTTTCCTAGGATTGGATAGGCCAGTATAGGAGACGACAGGAGGCGATGCTTCAGCGCTTCAAACGCTTCCTGGCATTCCGCCGTCCACCGGAATGGCCTACCCTTCTCGGTGATTTGGTGCAAGGGTCGAGCAATCTGAGCGAAGCCCTCAATAAACCGCCTGTAGTAGGAAACAAGTCCAAGGAAGCTTCGGACATCAGCAACAGTGGCCGGGTGAGGCCTGTCCCGCACAGCACGAACCTTTTCAGGGTCAGTAGCAACCCCCACAGGTGATACCACATTACAGAGGAACTCCACCTGCCTCTGAAGAAGCCAGCACTTTTTGGGTTTCAACTTCAGGTTGGCTGCATGAAGCCTCTGCAAAACTAGGCAAAGTCTTTGCACCTGTTCATCAAACGACCGTCCAAATACGATGACGTCATCGAGGTATAAAACAGCCACTTGCCATTGCAATCCCGCGAGGACACGCTCCATCAAGCGCTCAAAAATGGAGGGCGCGTTGCACAACCCGAAAGGCATGGTAATAAACTGGTATAGCCCACCTCTCCCCGTACTAAATGCAGTCTTTGGCCTATCTTCCTCAGCCACCTCTACCTGCCAGTACCCAGAAGCAAGGTCCAGGGTCGAGAAGAATTGGGACCCTGCCAGTGAGTCAAGGTTGTCCTCTATGCGCGGGAGTGGGTGTGCGTCCTTCACTGTAACCTCGTTCAGCCTTCGGTAATCAATGCACACTCGGACAGACCCGTCCTTCTTCCTCACCAGGACAAGCGGTGAACTCCATGGACACCCTGCGAGAGCATTATTGCTATTTCCTTGTCCGCCACCTCCCGTTGGGTTAAGGGTACTCTCCTCGGTCTTTGTCGAATGGGTGGGGCTGTCCCGGTCTCGATGCGGTGCTGGGTCATGTTAGTTCGGCCAATGTCTCCATCCCCAGTAGAGAACACGTCACTGAACCGTCTCAGTAAGGCTGCAAGTCTAGCTCGCTCATCAACCGTTAACCCTCCACAGCTGTACTCAAACAGTGAAGACAGGTGTTCAGGTACTCCCAGCTCTTCACTCTCCCTTGTCTCTTGTTTTTCCTGTTCTTTGTGTTTCAGTACTGCAACACTATCCACTGGCTCCAGGATGGCGGCAGCAGTCCCCTTTCTGAGCATGAGTGCTTCAGGCGATAGGTTTAAGAGTCTCACTTGTACACGGTTGTCCTGGGTATGCACAAGGGCACTGGCCACGAGAACCTCGCGATTCTCGACAACCGTCTCTCTATTCTGCAGCACAACCCATGTCGGCAGCTCACCTCCATCGCTGAAAACTTGGCACTCCAGTAGCATTTCAGAAGAAGGGGGCACAACGACATTCTCAGTAATCCGTACCCGACAGACTGCAGGCATCTGTGGATACTTCTGCAGAGGGACCCTATAGTTACCGACGGTGAGACACTCCTCCCAGATTAGCTGGCATTTGTTTTCCCGCAAGAAGTACAGTCCCAGGATGGCATCGTCACTCACGTCTGCCACCCAAACGCAGTGTAGGATCTGACTTCACCCTATCTTCATAGGCAGTTTCACTCGCCCAGCGATGCGCAGCTCACTTCCATCAGCCTGCCGAAATCTGCGATCTGCATGCATGAGTGTGGGCCTCACCTTGGGGTCCGTCCTTTGAAACAACCGGGTAGAGATGAAACTCTCCGTTGCACCCGTGTCAATCAGGAAACTCACAGCCATGTCCATAATCTCCCCTCTGACATAGAGTCCCAGTTCACGAGAGGATGTCGGTCGTATTGCAACACCGGGCGGCGGTGGGACTTTCAACACCGGAGATGGGGCTGCCTGCGCCGGCGGCGGGGCTACCCGCTCCGGCGGAGGGGCCGCCGGCGGCGGCGCCTGCGCCGGCGGCGGCGCCTGCGCCGGCGGCGGGGCTGCCTGCGCCGGGGGCGGGACTTCCTGCACTTTAGGTACACTAGGCCTCTGGACATCTACGGCTGGGCTTTTGGCCCCAAGACCAGCCTTACCTGGTTTATTGGATGCTGGTCGTCCTTTAGGAGGGGACTTTGGGCCCGGAAATGGTCCAGGCTACCGCACTTCCAGCATCCTGGCTTCCAGTCGTCGGCCTTCTTTGTTCCTTGTCCACGGCGCTGTTTTTCCAACAGTTCACGCACCATTGTTGCCACCTCATCAGTCTGCGCAGGCTCCTCAGATTTCACCGCGTTTGCGTCGGGTATCACTATGCCCTTGATCGTCCAGCTTTCTCCGTCTTGAACCATGCTTCAGCCTCTGCAACAATCTCCACAGCTTCGTCAAGCGTAGATGGCTTCCCTTGGAATAGTGCCCGTTTGAGGTCGATGTCGTCCAGGGCGTTCTTAAACTGTTCAATTGCAAAGTCCTCCATAAACTTTGAGCTGCTGTCGGGGTAGGCTCGGCGGACCAATTTTCTGATGGCTTGACCCAACTCAGCAACAGTCTCCCCTGCACGCCTTCTCCGTGAAGTCAGTTCAACGCGGTGGCGAATGCGATGCTTTTCAGTCCCAAATCGCCGCTCAAGGGCCTTGACTAACTCATGGAAGGACGACCGAGACTCCTTGGGCAAGGAACATGCAACTTCCAGCGCTGGGCCTTTCATTGCAACCATCAGATAGTCTGCCCTCTGCTCTTGATTCCAGCAGTTGATCTTGCTGACTCGTTCGAAGTGCACCAGGCAGTCCTCGATGCATGACGACCCGTCGTACTCCCGAGCCTTTACCCGCGGTACTGCTGCGGTGCGTTCCACGTTTGCGTGCTGGCCTACCGCATTTGCAGCACTGTATCCACTAGTAGTGGTATCAGTATGCAATGCCGTGTGCCTGCCCGCATGGCGAGGTTTGCAACCGCTGAATGCCTCAGTTGGGTGGACTGGAGATTGGGGATAGCCAGAACGGTGATCATCACTGTCAGACTCGCTGCACGCTGCCCGCCACTGTGCACGAAGATCCTGCACCAGTTTCTTCTGCGAGCTTCGTGTTTTCCGTCGCCTGCTGTATCATCCTGGGAAAAGGGGCCCGGTGTCTCTGGTACGTAGTGTTGCCGTCTTCCGGCTCGGGATGAGGATCCACGAGTAGCTCGACAGCTGTCCAAAAATGACCGCTCTAACCGGTTGATCTCAGTGGAAATGTCGCTAATGGCTTCCGCGATATTTCGTGCGGGCTGCATCGTATGGCTCGCCATAAAAACTTCTCCGTTGAAAAGACACGAAAATTATCCCACCGCTGCCACCAATTGTAGCGTAGACCTAGTTGGGTTCTTGTCCCCCAATTTAGCAAAACGCCAGAAAAAAAGGGACGCAGTTGACTCAAGGCTTGAAGCAAAACTCAACTTGTTTCGTTTTAATTCTCTAAAGACCGGCTACCTGCCGCAATGCTTCCAAAAACACAACTGAACATTCTCAGCATACAAAACGCACTGTCTGAAAAAGTATACATTTGTAACAACTTAACCCAGCCCTGGAACTTATCCAAATCCTTCCCGCATACCCAAACAAAAGAACCCAATTGAAGTGATCTATTTACAACAACCTTTTTCCGGAGCGCGCGCCGGCCCAGACCCAAAACTAGGCCAGGTGCTCGCCGCCGGAGGCACTCCGCCGGCGGCGGTAGCGCCGTCTACTACTGGTAACTACGGAAAACAAACTGTCCGCTACAATATTTTTAGAAACTCAAAATCTCAGTGGGGGCGACTGGGGGCGACAAGGTTTCGGGGGGGGGGCGCCCCCCCCCTCCCCACGCCCCCCGTGGCTACGCCACTGCATATAATTCAATAATTATTTACCCAATTTGATTTTGTTTCGGTGTGGAAAAGCTAATGAAATATACACTGAAACATTGCATGGGTTAATTTGACCCAGGCAAGGGTGAAAAACTGCAACTACTTAAAATTGGGTTACGCTTTACCCAATTGTTTAAGTTATAATTTCGTTTAAATTCAACCAAAATTTAATTTGGTCTTGTATGACCACAAGTTTTGGTTGAATTTAACCGATATAGATATTTGCAATGTATTTTTTAAAAAGTTGTGAAAAAGACGGTTCGGTTTTTGTGGGTTATCGCGTTTAAACCATGCAACGCCTTGCCCCTATAGGATCGAGTCGGCAAGGGGGTGAGTTTGTAAGGGGAAAGTCAGTCAGGGGCGAGTTGACCTACAATCTTGCTAATTGACTTTACTTTAAATATTTGAAGCAGATTTTTTTTATAAATAGATAAATGGCATATTTTCGATATCCCATGAAAAAGTTGATAGTAAAATTAAACATATCATTTTTCATCGCTAGAAAAATAGAAATTCGAAAATAAAATTCATCAAACTAGAATATATATAGAACTAGAGAATATGACCGACATGACACCTAAAAAAGGAGACCCAATGTGTGCCACGAACTGATCATATAAGGTGAAAACTAACGATCGAAGAATATTTCCATTTGAAAATGTAATACAATGCAGTGCCATAACATAGAGATAAAGAACAACTATCTAAAATTAAGCTTTGTGACTCTTATTTTACTATGCATATCTCTTGTTATACAGTTGGAACGTAATAACCTGTTTATCTTTGGGGATATCCATATACTCGCAGTCGTTCCCAATGTAAACATTCTAACAACATTAATTATCACATGTATGCGCTTCATTCATGCTGCAATGACATTTTGTATTCATTTTTAGATGCGCCGCCTGACAGCAAATCCATTTTGAGTCTTTCTGTAGACATTGGAACAGACTGGGAAAAATTGGCCATAAACTTGAACTTTTCTGAAGGAGTTCTTAATACAATTAGGAGTAATCGTCCCAACAACAGTGAAATGCAGTGCTTTGAAATGTTAAACAAATGGTGGAACAAGCAGGAAAATTACCCAGAAGCATGGCAGACGTTGGAGAAGGCTCTGATTGATTCGGGCAGGAACGACTTGGCTCGGCGCTTATCAGGTATGCTTAGTAACTGAAGAAAGTTTTGCAAATCGTGCACTTACATTTCAAAACAAGGTGATCCGCGGATTGCACGTGTCACCTTTTTCCGCGGTCGATCCCTGTTTGCTTTGTGTTCTTATTCCTGCAGAAGCTGTTAATTTTCGGTTCAAGAAAATAATGATTGGCTCCTGAAAAGTATTTTTTTATGAAAGGGCACGGCCTTAGTTTCATCAAAATCCATGAAGGCATGCAAAAGCGATACATTGTTTTTTCTTCAAAACTTAATCTAAACTTTAACATACATGTACAAACAGGGATACAGTCGTACGGGGGTTAAGGGATACATAATTTGGGACTGGTGAAGTGTGTCCCCCCCCCCCCCCCTCCCACACTATTCGATTTTACGAAGGGCAAGTGTCCGGGGAAAAAAATGTACCTACATTTCAGGACGGTTGTGCAAGTGCCCTTTGTTACAACTGATAATGTAGTAACCAACGGATAACGTATCACCAACCGAAATTGTATCACAAATTGACCGCTATTGTATCACTAACCGATAATGTAGCAAAAATTGACTGATAGTGTAGTAAAATTTGTATCCGCTAATGTATCACGTGTCGACGGATAATGTAACTACAAAATAACTGTATCCGATAATGTATCACCACGGAACGGATACTGTATCAACCGATAATGTATCAAAAATCAACCGATAATGTATCAGTATATTTAGAAAAGGTGGAAATATTGCAAATTAATTAAAGTCTAATCAGTGTCTTTACTATGATAAGTCCCCACTCGGGAAAGTTTGTCATTTTTGTTTTAAATTTGGAAGGGAGTTGCTCTGGTTTGGAGACGCCCTACTTCCAAGTGGGCCGAAGCTAGTGGCGTATCCAGCTTTTGATGTGGGGGGGGGGGGGGGGTAACCGCACTCGCACATCCGCGCCGAAATGTGGACAAGTTCTTTTCTCCGGACACTTGGCCTCCGTATGGGCTCCGTGCTCCAACCCAAGAAGGCGCGTTTTACCACTTTTGAGAGCACCATGCATGGACGCACGGGACCATTGATCTCCAACCTCGTCCCCAGTGCTTACTTTATTTCCAACCGCGTTTCAATAGTAAACCCTGGATAGGAAACTTTCTTCCTGTACCCTGATTGGATACCGCAATTGGCTAGTAATGGATTTTTAGCGTGTACTTGATGCTATTATTCACAACGTGCAGTACGTGTTTTCGCGATCATTCGTCCACGCCTTCTCGAAAATACTAATTTCCTTTCCAATTTGCTCATATTAATATGATATATGATACTGCATGTTGTTTCGATAAGATCGTAACAGTTTGATTTCAAAAATCGTGTTTTCGTAACTCACGCCGTGCTCGCGCTGCTACGAATTGACTCTGTTTTTACCTCAGACACCGCATACAAAAACAAACGCTAATGTGTAACGCATATCCAGGCACCAGACTGTTCCTCATTAGCATACGTGTTCAAAAATCTTGCACATGCAACTGATCCAATACCAGGGTGAGAGAGCAGGTAGTGGTGGGCGCGTACTGCTCAACACCCTGGGGACGAGGTTGATTGATCTCCGTATGGAGATCAATGGACGGGACACAGCATGTGCGAACTGTACTGTACTGGTTTGCGCGCAAAGTTCAACGCCACTTCCAGAATGTGCCAAGGCTATTAGCCGCAGCGTCTTCGCATGATTGTCAGGCAAAGTCGGCGCGCATACGTTCAATTTAACTTGCGATGGTCTCACAGACTTTTCCCTCCCCCAATAACCTTGCATCATTCAAAATACGCAGTGAATGGACCGGGACCAGAGTCCCCCAACTCTCCGTTTCTGGCCGTTGAAGGGGCACTTGTGCATGGAGCCCATAGCTCCATGGTAAAATCAAAAACTGAGGCGGGGGGGGGGGCTGGAGACCACATGACACTGGGGGCGCTGTTCATGATACAGATGTATCAGCGCATTTCAAGCTTTTTGTGTTTTTTCTCCCTTTCTCAGTATTATTTAATACATTTCGGCGGTTGGAAAGTTTGAAAAACACCTCAAAATCTGCCCTTTTTTCTCTAAATACAAAATAATGGGGGTGGGGTGATCCAATAGCCCACACCCCCTTCCGCGGTCAAAAGTGGGGCGGGATATAGGACATAAAACAAACATTTGTGTACACCTTTTCCCCGTACTGATACATTATCGGTTGATTTTTGATACATTATCGGTTGATTTTTGGTACTTTATCGGTTGATACAGTATCCGTTCCGTGGTGATACATTATCGGATACAGTTATTTTGTAGTTACATTATCCGTCGACACGTGATACATTATCGATACAAATTCTACTACACTATCAGTCAATTTTTGCTACATTATCGGTTAGTGATACAGTATCAGTCAATTTGTGATACATTATCGGTTGGTGATACATTATCGGTTGGTTACTACATTATCAGTTGTAACACCCTTTTCTGGGGCAGACGCCTATTGTATCAGGCTTTCTGGCCCAACTGGGCCAACTGGCAGGCGGAAGAACCTCGGTCAACGGCTGGCAGTTTCCAGGCATAGTTAGTTTTCCACTGCGGGGTAGCCCATCATCCTTCTAGTCGTCCTGCTTCGGCAGTCCACTAGGGTTAAGTATGACTAGGCCCAGAGGAGAGTGTCTCACCTGGGCAACCATTCACTCTCTATCCATTGCGTCGGCGCACGACGTTACGTGCAAACCATGAAATGGAATCTCAACGATGTATACAGCGACTGGCAATTTGGCAGCCCGCTACAAGGAGGGCTGTCAATGCCCGGCAGAGTGGGTGTTCCAGGCAGGCACCGCTCGGTCGTCATCCTGCTACTGCTTACATTAACTTTAGTTCTTGGAACGTCCGCTCCTTGGGTGTCTACTCTGACCGTTCTGTTCCTACTCCCCGCAAGTCCGCCATCATTGACCTGGAATTGGCACGTCTCAATGTGGACATTGCAGCTCTTGGTGAAACATGGCTTACTGGTATGGTAGTGGATCTGTCTGCGAGGAGAGGTACACCCTGTTCTGGCATGGCTATCCAGATGGCGAGAGACCCCATCATGTCTTGCTATCCGTAACTCTTTGAAAGGTCATGACTTTCACCCCCGTCTCAGTTTCACCCAAGCTTTTGACTGCAAAGCTTCAACTGTATAACTTCCAGTTCAAAATCATTAGCTGCTATGCCCCAACCATGTGCTCATCCCCTGAGGAGAAAGACTCATTCTATGCCGCGCTGAAAGCCTTGATCAAAGACACATCGGCGGGCGATTGCCTGGTGTTGCTTGGAGACTTCAATGTCCGGACAGGGTCTAACTACACTGCCTGGGAAGGTGTCCTTGGCCCCCATGGCATTGGAAGAATGAATGAAAATGGTCAGAGACTGCTTGGATTGTGCGCTCGTCACAACCTCTGCATACCCTCATCCTTCTTCACTGGTTCGGAAAGGGCAAAGGTCACCTGGAAGCACCCAAGATCTGGCCACTGGCACAAGCTGGACCACATACTTGTGAGGCAGTCTGCAGAGTAGAGAAGAAAAGAATGCACCATGCCAAGCCACCTCCACCACCGCGCCCGGACCTCTCCAACCTGGCTGATATGGATCGCTGTAAACAGCTCCAATCTAACAATTCACAAGGTTTAGCTAAGAAGACGCCATCACATGACCCAACCGAGTGCTGGGAATCCCTCAAGCATGTCATCAGATCTTCTGCCATGAAATCACTTGGGAAGCAAGTGCGGAAACAGCCGGACTGGTTTCGCCACAGTGTCGATGTGCTCGTTCCTGCTATTGCGTCCAAGCGCAGTACCCGACTGGCATTCCTTAACAAGCCTTCTCCCAGTAACAGAGCCTTTTATCAGTCCGCTAAGGCTGAAGTTCAGCGCTGCACAAGACAAGCCCTGCATCGCTACTGGCTTGACCTGAGTGAGCGTATCAGCAGGTGCTCTGATGCAGGGAATCTGCATGGAATGTACAGAGGCATTGAGGAAGCACTGGGGCCTGTCCCAAAGAAGACGGCTCCACTGCGTGCATCTGATGGTACGCTTCTAACCGACATGCAGGCACAACTAGACCGTTGGGTCGAACATTACAGCTCCTTGTATGGCACTTCAGTAAATGCTAATCCAACAGCCATCGCAATGCATTGCAATGGCAATTCCACAGTTGCCTACAAAACTTGAGCTGGACCGGGAAATCACCGCCTTCGAGGTGAAGCAAGCGATTGGTGCAATACAGAATGGAAAATCACCGGGTGCAGATGGGATTCCACCAGAACTTCTCAAGCATGGCGGTGATGATCTGACAAAGGAACTGCTGCACCTCTTCCGTACCTGCTGGCACACCCGTACATTGCCAGATGAACTCCGGGACGCAAGCATAATCACACTGTACAAGAATAAGGGCGACCGTCATGACTGTAACAGCTACAGGGGCATTTCCTTGCTGAGCACAGTCGGCAAAGTGCTTGCCCATGTCATCCCACCACGCCTCCGCTGTCTTGCTAATCAAATATTACCAGAGAATCAGGCCGGTTTTAGACCAAACCGCTCCACACTGGACATGATTTTCTCTTTTCGTCAACTGCAAGACAAATGCGTCGAACAGCGACGCCTCCTCTACACTGTCTTTGTGGACCTGACTACGTGAGCCGCACAGGCTTATCTGCAGCATTGGAGCGCCTGGGATGTCCACTAACTTTACTGGCTATCATCAGAGCTCTCCATAGTGGAATGCAGGCCACTGTTTAGAATGACGGGTCGGTGTCTCACGGCTTCAGTGTAAATTGTGGAGTGAAGCAGGGCTGTGTTTTGGCTCCTACGCTGTTTTGGGATCTACTTCTCTGTCTTCCTTCGCAGCGCTTTTCCGTTTGATCAGCCTGTTGACCTTGAAAGATTGACACGACGGTAGGCCGATTGACGTTTGTTAATGAGCAATTTGAGATGAGGAGAAAACCAAGGCTTGTCATCATTATGTGTTGATTTTGTCTTAAAGTTGGAAAATACTTGTCGATGACATCTGACATCGTGGTGTCGGCCGTTGCCTTGGAGTTAGGTGAAGTAGCTGTTCTAATGTCCGACAAAAATTCAT